AACAAAACTTACATCTTTCAGAATTAAAATCATCACAACCTTAGGCCAGCCCATTGTCATCATATGGCTTTACTGATCTCAACCCATTGGTAAGTTAACTAATTAAATCTCATACTTTAGCTAAAGTTAGTGGCAAAGGTGACACCAAGATTGTGGGTGGGGGAGGGGGATGTCTAGATAATAAAATATCAGCAAGCAATATTAGCGTGACTAGATTAGATTGGTTCCTTTGAGAGTATAGACACTAAAGTAGAAAATGTGTAGTTGACATTCTGATCTCTACACAGAATATGATACCTCAAGATTCTTTACTGCTGATATTTTATGGTGGTTTCAATTTCGCCATTGGTGGTTTTTTTTTGTCTGATTCTATAGTAAATTTAATTAATCTTTGTAAAAGGTTATTATATTAGACTGTTAATAGCTAATTTTTTTATTTAAAATAAAGAGTTTGCAATTTAAAAAATGCTAAATCAGAGTTTAATTAAAAAATTACCTATTTACTGATTTTTTAAATTGGCATATCCTCATGGTGATTCATAGTTGCCTAAGTCGTGTGAGTCACCATTAAAAAAACTGAATTACAGGCGGCCTATTGTATTTTCTCTGTTAGCTCACTAAAAATAATTTTTTCAAAATATTTTATGATCAATTTGTGTCTTAATATAGAAAAATTAAAGGATAAGTGTTAACTCAAAGAAAAAAAAACCCTCTAAAATGTGACTAAAGCAATTGCAAAATCACTATGACAATTATTAAATTGTATAATAACTAACACTGAAAGGCAATGGTATTATTTACTGATAATGTATGCCAAATAAAGAAGTCTGTCTAGTAGTGTTCATTTATATTTAAGTCTTAATTTATATTTTTATGTGGGTTTAATGTCTAGTTAAAATAACATCCAAATAGAAAATTGTTTTTGAAAACTGTTCTGTTATAGTTGTAGTAGGTCACACCTAATTTATTTATAGTTTTGGCTGTAATCATTAACTGGGTTCTAGTATTTCTATAACTTAGAATGTTATAATTTTAGATCTAATGATATCAAATCCTGGTTTCTTTAAATCCCTGTAACAACCAAGTTCAGAAATGTCCTCTGTTAGGTAAATGTCATTTATGAAATGATAAAAATCTATGTAGCACTCTTGGAAAGTCTAGACGTTCATATCTGACCTCAACGCTACCACAAGTGCTATTGAATTAGGTCTGAAATACATAAACATTCATATATTCTAATTTATTCATTTCAAAGCATCAAAAATATTCAACTTTATCCCTGTAAACTTGTGACTTGTCATCTCTAACATGTCACCTGTCATTTCCACCTGTCATCTTGACTTACACTATCGTGTGTATTTGTTATCTTTAATTATGACTTTATATTTATTGAATCGTGACTTGTAAATTTGTCATCTCTAATGACTTGTGACTTGTAGATTTGTCATCTCTAATGACTTGTGACTTGTAGATTTGTCATCTCTAATGACTTGTGACTTGTAGATTTGTCTGCTGACTTGTGACTTGTAGATTTGTCTGCTGACTTGTGACTTGGAGATTTGTCTGCTGACTTGTGACTTGTAGATTTGTCATCTCTAATGACTTGTGACTTGTAGATTTGTCATCTCTAATGACTTGTGACTTTGAGATTTGTTTGCTGACTTGTGACTTGCCCGATGGATAGCTTTAGTCATCACTAATCCAGCTGATCTGAGACATGTAACAATACCTTTGCCTAATCCTCTAACAAACAGACTGACACAACCAGAAGGACCAGTTTTCTGTGAACTATGACTTAAACCCACAGACAAGGAAAAGTAAGGCAAGATTTAATCTTGACTGCAGTAGCTACCCCTTATCTCCACACAGATAAATAGAGTTTCCATTCTGAGCCCGTCTGATCTTTGTGTTCAAATCTGTGAGAAACTCTAGCCTCCACTGAAGGCTCTAATTATACACTGCATGCTGTTCTGCTCTAATTATACTGTCTCAGTACAGGATATCCACCCAGTGCTTTGTCTAGGTCCTGCTGTAAAACTATTTCTTCCCCTTTAAACCTAGTTACACATTCTAGCTATGTGTGTTATTTATATATTTACTGTATGTATTTATTTATTTTACTACACGTTTACTATTTACTGCTAATAAGCAGCTCTTTGGGACAAAGTATTTTACTAACTGAAATAAAAAATATAAGTGTTTAAGTTTTTTAAGACCCCCTCCCCTCTTCCCATGCCAATTTTTGCAGCTCTTTGGGACAAATTAAATATTTTACTAACTGAAATTAAAAAAATAAAAGTGTTAAAGTTTTTTAAGACCCCCTCCCCTTTTTCCATGCCAATTTTTGTCTTAACCAGCTGTCCTCTCATTAACTTATACTTAACTTAGCTTTAGATATCCTATTAGGACTAGGCTAGGAAATCAATGGCAGGTATCAGACACAACTCAAAGTTTATTATCAGTGTATCAAGGTATATGACAGGTAGATGCCATCTTGTTTTAAAACAAACTGTTTAAAAGTTCATGCATTAGAAAGATGTTTTAAGTCAGTCTATGATTAGTATAATTTCACTGTTAACTGAATCATTTCACAGCAAATTCATTGTGCATATAACCTCACATTTTACTTTGTACGGTCCCTTGGCTTAAAATAATCACTCCAGCTAACATGACACATGTAGAACATAAGGCTAGGGGGAGTAAAATAAAGCTGGAAAATATATAATCTTGCGGTATGTCTAGACATTATTCAATTGATATCTAACCTAATTGTTACTAATTTTTTTAAAGGGAAAAACATTTATTTTACACCTGCAAACTTAAGTTAAATATTTTAGTGATTTCTAGCTTTCCTTTTTACTTCATTGTATAGGAATAGTAACTATTTGGCAATAGGGTAGCATACATTACATTTAGTACAAACTTTTTCTGTGTTGTTTTAAAAAACTTTTTTCATGCAATTTTAAGTTATATTTTTAAAATCTCAAATATCCCAAACATGCAAATTTAATTAATAAGCAAGTCCCTAGTCTAATCTTATCTCCTATTGTGCCCTAGATCAGACATGCTGACAAAAGCTTTCTACTTTTTCCAGTTGTTGACCTTAACCCCCCCCCCCCCCCCCCCCAACTCATGTCTCCCTGTGTGCTGTGGCATAGGGGTTTTTAAAAATAGCCTTTTGTCATCAACTTTTCTCTCTTACTGCATAGTTTTCATGCCTGAGTGATCACAGCTTTAGCCCATGTTTCAGCTGAGTCAACCAGCCATAGGGAGTCAAGAATGTTCCCACAATCTTTAGCTAGACAGTTCATACAATGCATAGCTAGAATCTTTATCTAGACAGTTCATACAATCTTTAGCTAGACAGTTCATACAATCTCCAGCTAGACAGTTCATACAATCTCCAGCTAGACAGTTCATACAATCTCCAGCTAGACAGTTCATACAATCTCCAGCTAGACAGTTCATACAATCTCCAGCTAGACAGTTCATACAATCTCCAGCTAGACAGTTCATACAATCTCCAGCTAGACAGTTCATACAATCTCCAGCTAGACAGTTCATACAATCTCCAGCTAGACAGTTCATACAATCTCCAGCTAGAATCTTTAGCTAGACAGTTCATACAATCTTTAGCTAGACAGTTCATACAATCTTTAGCTAGACAGTTCATACAATCTTTAGCTAGACAGTTCATACAATCTTTAGCTAGACAGTTCATACAATCTTTAGCTAGACAGTTCATACAATCTTTAGCTAGACAGTTCATACAATCTTTAGCTAGACAGTTCATACAATCTATAGCTAGACAGTTCATACAATCTACAGCTAGACAGTTCATACAATGTATAGCTAGAATCTTCAGCTAGACACTCCATACAATTATCAGCTAGACAGTTCATACAATCTTTAGCTAGACAGTTGACACAATCTGTGTGTCATATATTTTAAATGTTTTTTTTTTAAATGAGTGTCTAAAGATGCATGAGTGTGTATATTAAGGTTTAGTATTTTACTTTTCCTTGAGTTGTGTGTATGAGAGTGACATTATGAGTGAAACAGTTTTAGTATTTTATTTTTCCTTGAGTTGTGTGCATGAGAGTGCCATTATGAGTGAAACAGTTTTAGTATTTTATTTTTCCTTTAGTTGTGTGGATGAGAGTGCCATTATGAGTGAAACAGTTTTAGTATTTTATTTTTCCTTTAGTTGTTTGGATGAGAGTGACATTATGAGTGAAACAGTTTTAGTATTTTATTTTTCCTTTAGTTGTGTGGATGAGAGTGCCATTATGAGTGAAACAGTTTTAGTATTTTATTTTTCCTGTAGTTGTGTGGATGAGAGTGCCATTATGAGTGAAACAGTTTTAGTATTTTATTTTTCCTTTAGTTGTGTGCATGAGAGTGCCATTATGAGTGAAACAGTTTTAGTATTTTATTTTCCCCTGAGTTGTGTGGATGAGAGTGCCATTATGAGTGAAACAGTTGCTAGAGCGGTGGCTCACAAAGGGCTTGCTTGCCTAAACTGAAAGGTCAGAACAAAAAAAAAAGCAAGCCTCTAGTTGAGTAGTTATGTGATCCTCTAGTGCCCATGCCTTGTTATTGCACTCTCTGCAGGGGTGGGGTGGGACCGGGTGAGCTTAACAGGGTGCATTGTCACTGCATGACAAAGGTTTTGTGGATGGGGTGAGTAGAGGGGAGGGGTCTGGTTGGGGGGGAGGAGCAATGTGGTTGGGTGGGTTGGTGCCGTCCAAAGAAGGGGAGGCTAGGAAAACTTTTATAGTGTCAAGACAGAGCTAGAACCAATTGGAAAGGGGGGGGAGTTTTTAAAAAAAAAAATTAAACAAGAGGATTAGGATGTCATAGCTGCCACCATTCTCTGTATTGAATCGGCACTGTCTTATAGATTTTGTTTTTTTCTTCTGTGGGGGACACAAGAGTGGGAAAGAAGATTTGAATGGCTACCTTAGCTTTGTTTACAAGAAGTGTACACATTGTCCTACCTGTGTCGGCAGTTATCTTCTCCTGTCTCAGACAATAGCTGTAGACTGCAGAAATGGAGGGTGCAGATGACAGATTTTATTTTTTTTTATTGCCTGTCTCAGTTGGCATCTCAGATGTCATTTTATTTTCCAACAGAATCCATTCAAGGATGACCAACAACGGCATGGGTTTTTTTTTTTTTTTAATGACGAGAAGGGGACGGCACTCTCGCAAGATGGAGGCATGGCGCAAGCAGACGATTTAGCAGGCAATCGAGACGCTGGAAACAATGAGGCTCTGGTTGGGGCTGGCAGTGAGGCCCCATCAGGGTTGGGGACTGGCTGTTCATTCATTGTGTTAGTAACACATAGTTCTCTCTTCATTAGCAATCAGAATACAAGTCATCTTGATTCCGATTTTCATAGGTTGAAGTTATTGATTTTTTTTTTTAAAAGAAATTTTTTCCCCTCACTTAAGTTGTGTCAAGTAAAGCTGAGTTGAGCAACCAACATTGATGAGTAGAATGGTTTTCCCATTAGACAATTGTTGGAATAATGTACTGGTGTGGCAGTAACAAAAGTTTTTAAATGTCCCATCCAACTTGATAATGTTTTAATTCAGGTATCTTTCCAACATTGACCTATGGTGAAGAAAAGAAAAGAAATTCATTAGATAATTTTATTAATGACAAACAGCAGCATTTTATTCATGGCAGGTAATATTAAAGGTTGGATTCAATAGGAATTGAGGTTAAAATAAAAAGACAGGGTATACAGTAATGATTTTTCCTGACTAAATTGCAATGAAGCGTTCTCTCAGATGTTGACGGGGGTTAATAGGAGTTGATGCTAAATGAGTCTGCAGACATTGATCCAGTGTTAACCATTAGGTGACTGCATTGACAGGACTGCTTGTTGTGTCTGTCTGTCTGTCTCTCATAGTGCTGGGTCATTGGCAACACAAGGATTTATGGAAGGTGTTGTGTAGTCAGAGGGAAGGAAATCTTGTATGTGTCTTTCTATCACACCATCCTCTCTTTATTTCTTTCCATCACACCATCCACTGTTATTTCTTTCCATTACACCATCCACTATTTCCTTGTTTTCATTACACAATCCTCCAATAATTTCTGATGGTGTAATGAAAAGAAATAAATAAACAGAATTAAAATCTACCTTTTCATTATAATGGGTGTTTCTTAGCAATATTTTTTTTTCATGTCATACACATATTTCTTTCTCACTATTTTTTTTCAAACAGCATACATAATTATAAATTATTTGTTTCATTATCACACATCTTCCTTTCCATTTCTTCCCTTACAATTCTTTATTTTGTGTTACTTTTCAATGTATAGAAAGAAAAATATCATGACTATAAAGCTGCTTTAGTAGATTACATCAGCCTTTGAGTGGGTGGATGGTTGAGAGATTCTGGCTAATGTGAAGGATAGTTTCACTGAGCAGTAGATCCTGTCTACAGGAAGACTTATTTACAATTACAATTAGACAGGACTAAACCCCAAAGTTCAGTTTACTGGCATTACTTTCAGCCTGCATAAGTCAAAATAAATTAAATTTGCTTAAAGATTAATATTATCAAATTTTAGTCAAGTACTATGCTTATAAATCCCCCTCCCCCCCCCGGACTCACCCTAACCTTTTTATTACCACAATAAGCTGCACCATTATATTTTATATATACATGCATGGAAATTTTATTTTTATACATGCATGGATCCATTGAAAATATAATACTATTAATATAGTAAAAGAAAATTGAAGGTTTGAAATCCATTTTTGTCAATTTTTTTACCACTAGTTCTGTTACTGTAATTTAGAATAGTTTAAAACTCCTAGACATAAATGTATCCTTACTCTACATCCTAAACCCGACAAAAGAAAATTTCCTACAGTTTTATGTTGTACTGACAGGTTATACTGACTATTTCAAACTGATAGGTCATGTCTATAGGTCATGTCTATAGGTCATGTCTAGTTGGTTTAAGTCTCTTGGTGTAGGTCTCTGTTGTCAGCTGTCTGTCTGTAGGTCATATCTTTTGTCTAGGTCATCTATTCTTATATTTGTCCTCAGTTTAACTCTGGAGTGTGATGTAATCTTTAGAATAACACAAACAAAATTATAAATAAGCACAATGGAGTGGTTGGGTGGATAGCATCAAAGTGAGAAAAGTGAGAGCAGTAATAAATATATTAAGGCCCAGGTCTAGCCAGACTTTGTAACAGGAGATCTAGTACAGCTAACCAAATCAGCTCTCATCTTATCAGAGTCCTTTCATCTTTATTGATTTCAGACATGTTGGGTTAGAGCATAGGAAACTAGTCAAAGACTGTAGGCCAACTATATTATAGGCAACTAAACAACTTCATTCAACTACTTCAGTAAACTAGGGAACTAGTCAAATATGGTAGGACAACTATATTATAGGCAACTAAACAACTTACTCCAACTACTTCAGTGAACTAGACAACTAGTCAAATATGGTAGGCCAACTATATTATAGGCAACTAAACAACTTCATTCAAATACTTTAGGGAACTAGTCAAAGATGGTTGGACAACTATATTATAGGCAACTAAACAACTTCATTCAAATACTTTAGGGAACTAGTCAAAGATGGTTGGACAACTATATTATAGGCAACTAAACAACTTCATTCAACTACTTCAGTGAACTAGACAACTAATCAAATATGGTAAGACAACTATTTTATAGGCAACTATACAACTTCATTCAACTACTTCAGTGAACTAGGGACCTATAACTTCATTCAACTACTTCAGTAAACTAGACAACTAGTCAAATATGGTAGGCCAACTATATTATAGGCAACTAAATAATTTCATTCAACTACTTCAGTGAACTAGGGAACTAGTCAAATATGGTAGGCCAACTATATTATAGGCAACTAAACAACTTCATTCAACTACTTTAGTGAACTAGACAACTAGTTAAATCATAAAACATCTAGTATTTGAGACAAGCAAAACATTCAATGAAAACTAAAACTGTATTAAACAACGCTGAATGTCTTGTATACACTAACTTAAATGATCACAAATATCTGCTTTGTATTCTCTCACATGTAACTAACTTTTGAAATGTCTATTCATTTCTGCATTTTCTCTTTTTATAACATTTTAATCCATATTATTAGGTTTGAATATAAAAGTAATTTTAGTTTAGTTTGTAATTGAATATCTGGCATTAAAAATGCTTGAAGAATCTATTGAATCTCCTCAGTTCATGTTTCAGCAGTTGAGTGCTGATAAAACACACTTACCCTACACAAACAATAAGTGGCTCATGTTGACTTTGGTATCCATCTCAAGTCTAGCATATCCTCAGCATTGTGTGAATGTGGGTCACAGACCTAGTGTCTAACCACTTCCAATCATTCAAGCACCACAGCCCCAACTTTCAGACTTCTGCGCGTTGCAAAAATTATACGCAACTTCATTGTGCTACGGTATACGGTGCGCGACATTTTCACATTTTCAAAATGAGGCCGCGGAACTGCCATGCTGCAGGATGGCTTTATATCATTATTTTCCTTGTTAGAGTTTTGAATGCCTGTAATTTATGACTGCAAGGTGTTCGTGTGACAAAAAAATTGTTCTTTATTATTTTACACCTTTGAAAGACGCATTTATTAAACATTTAAAAAAATATTAAATACATTAATTCAAACAATTGAAGAATTGTTTAATATTTTACTTCAACCGTTTTTGAAATATTCAGTACACCTTTATGTAAAACCTAAAAGTAGTAAAATATAGCAGATTGTACAACTTGTATTTTATAATGCTGTCTCAAATCAGTTTCTTCTCTTTAAATGAAAGAATTTATTCTGCCACTTTGGGCAACCCTGACCAATTGGTCTAGTGTAATCTGTGCTTGTTCCCTCTTTGTGGATCCTAAATGTTTTCTTTGTTTGGGGAAACAAAATTTCTTCATTGCTGTTTAACAGTTAACTTATAACTTGATTGGTGAAGGAAGTGTAAGAAACATTGTTTCAATGTAAATCATAGTTAAAAGTATGTTACAAATCTTTAATGTTGTGTTATTAACTTGCTGTGATATTATAACTTGGCTCATTTGTATTTACAGGAAGTAAGGAACACAGTTTCAAGTTTGATCTGACCATGATTAGTACTGGGCCACAGAATGGGGATGGTATGGACCAGTGAATTTTGACATGAGAGTTAGCATTGAGACCACAGAATGGCAACTTCAGTGTTAGCTTTATTAAAATGTAATTTTGTGAAGCAAAAATATATTCTAATTAGGTGATGTGTGTTGTTTTGATACTTAATGTGTAAGCACAGTTACACTGAAGTTTTAAAAAGAATAAGCACAATAGTGCCCGTTTTTATGCTTTTTTATCAGCTAACAATTCTAGTTTGTCAGACTAGATTTTGAATTCTTGTCCTAGTAAAGTAATTTATTGTTTGCCATGAAAAAAATGTAATCAATGCATCACATAGATATTTTAATGACAGCTGATTGCAATTATAAATATTTTTTAAAAGTTATTTGTAAATTTAGTAGACTGTAGTTTAAAATCTTTCAAATTTTGGTTGTAGAAATGTGTAGATAGTAATGCCTTCAGACAGTCCCTCTAGCATGTGTGAAGATTATTCTGGCTGTTTGCTTTCCATTTAAATAAATATTTGTACTCCTGTACCACAGCCATAAGACAGATTCAGAACTTGCTGATATATTCACTATATGACAGGCTAGAGATTCAGAACTTGCTGATATATTCACTATATGACAGGCTAGATTCTTTGTTTAGGGATTATTAATGTCACATTTTATTTCCTTATCTCTCTTCAAATCCCTGTTTGGTTTGAAATCTGGCCAAATATGACTGTACTACTGTAACCATCATATCAATGTTTTTAATTTTGTATCTATTTTACAAGCTTTTTAAAAAAAAAAAAAAAAAAAACTAAACAAGATATGTGTAACAAACTAGTAAGACTGGTAACCCTGTCTAGACTCACAAGTAGGCCACTGTTGCTAGTTCTGTATTACCCTGTGTCACAACTGCACAGACACAATTTTCGAAATATTCTACTGTCTTTACATTCTACCGGAATGACCAAAAAAAGATTATAATAACCTCTGTGTGACTAGTCTTTGCTGGTTTTTGATTATATTAGTGACACCAAAATGGATCTTAATCAGTTTATTTTAGTACCATAATCCTAATGTCCTGATATGGGACTGGCCTATATTTTAACAACCTTTATCCCGCTCAGCTGAAAGTGCTGACTACACATTCAATAATGTCTCAATAAGGACTTTGATGTTGTAATGGGTAGATGTCAGTGGGTCAACTGAAGATAACAAGGTACACAAAGTTACAGTGACATCAGGTATAGAGCTGACACAGGTACACAAAGTTACAGTGACATCAGGTATAGAGCTGGTACACAAAGTTACAGTGACATCAGGTATAGAGCTGGTACACAAAGTTACAGTGACATCAGGTATAGAGCTGACACATGTACACAAAGTTACAGTGACATCAGGTATAGAGCTGGTACACAAAGTTACAGTGACATCAGGTATAGAGCTGACACATGTACACAAAGTTACAGTGACATCAGG